AATTATTTTAATCATTATTACTATTATTCTAAATCTATACTAGATACTCTAGTAACACAATTGTCCTTCAGTTTATAATTTAATATTTTAGAAATAAATTACTAATCCATTAATAAAACTAATGAACGAATGGACACAAAAAGATCTTAATTAAGAGTTTTCACAGAAAACAATACAAGTATACAAACAATAGGTATTCGTGTTAGAGTTCGTTACTTTTTAGACCTTCATTTCAAACTAATTATGTTTTAACATTTAATGTTAACATCATCAGTATGATGATAACCAAAATCATCGCTAACCTTATCTATATTTATAATTGATATATTTTTATTACAATCAAATGATTGTATTATTGAATAAATAATTTGATAAAACAATGTTTACTATCAAGACAAAACTTAATTGTGTATTTTATAATTAAAGAAAAATTACAAAATTTCAATTGCAGTATAAACATTTAAACGCAAGGTTGTCAGATATGATATATCTTAGAATCTAAGACTTAGATATTATATAAATTCTTAATGACTTTAATTATATTTCAATATTAAACAACAAAAACTATATTAAAAATACTTGAAATCATTAATGGACTATTAATTGCTTTACAGACTATTCAGTGACAATAAAAACAGACATTTTCCGGCACTCTGTGGAAGAAAAAACAGAATTTATAAAAGACTTTCTAAAAGCTATTTCAGTAAACAAGTGAGTAATGAATGAAAATAAAAATGATGAGTAAAACTAAAAGTTGTCTGGATCAATGTGTACTAATTTGTGACAGGATCGATGTAATGATAGCCCATTCCAGTGCTATATACCCAACAACTCTGCTCTGGTGTGACCCAAACTGTCCACAAATCGATTCGTTTGTATTCCTAAACCCTGGCGGACACCGAAGGATTAAAGCCATGCGACCCGTTTGGTATACGGAGGGCGGTGTCAAAGTGTACCAAAACAAATGGGGCAGAACTCTGTTCCAGATCTTCGGCACCGCTTTCCTCAACTTAACCAAAACAGTCACCGTTAAGGCCGATAACATGAATA